CACTCAATTTGATCATGGTTTCGATCAGTTAGGGTTAGACAATCACACATTTATCACAACGATTACTCATGGTTTCGATAGGTTAAAATTAGACAATCACACATTTATCACAACGATTACGGGCGAAATCCACTAAACGATTTGGTGTGATATGGGTGTGATAATCATGTGATATCACTATTATAGCATCACTTGGGCACTCAATTTGATCATGGTTTCGATCGATTAGGGTTAGACAATCACACATTTATCACAACTATTACTCATGGTTTAAAAAAGGTTATGGTTACACATGATTGATCATGGTTTCGATAGGTTATGGTTACACAATCACACAATTACCACAAAAGGATAGAAGAGAGTGGAAACGAACGTGCAGGAAAAAAGGGATAATTATGACTAGTTAAAATAAAATAAAAATTATAAAAATTACTTAATTACATTACTACCCTTATTAATTTATTTATATTTAATATAAGTTAATTTATTAATTAAAAAGTTTGAGGTTATTAGGTTGTTCTCGCGTTCTCGTAAATCACAGGGGTTCTCGTTTGAACCTCCATATATATATATATATATATCTATATAAGAGAAGAGGTACCCTGAAATAATTTAATTGTTCTGATGAGACCTTCTCTTCTACTGTAGATTGGCGTTGATACACAATCCAAGTCATTATTATTTTATGTTTGTTATTTTTTGATTACTATAACCAAATCAAATGTCTGGACCAACAGATCCTTTTAAAAGATAAAGAAAGGGGTGTTCTTAGGGACTATTAAATCCTAAAAAAATGATTGTTCTTGTGTATCATGGAAATTCTTTGAAAGGCAAGAATCAAATAATTTTTTGTGGTAGAACAAAATATCTTTCATTTCTCCCTCTAATAGATTCTTTTTGTTTTGAGTTCCAAGAATATCGTTAAGTTTATTTTTGAAGCCGCTACCAATAGGTATGATCCCCCTAGAACAATGTTTTTTTTCAGGCCTTTCAACCAATCGTACGGTATATATATATATATATATATATATATATCTATACTACATATATAAGCATTTAAGTCATTATCTTAATTACAACCTTCTAAGCACAAGTTACAATCATTTTATGCAAGAATTTTAAAAATCTCTTAATTACAAATTATCATGCATAATGTACAAGTTATTTATGCAAATGTTTCATACAATTCCAAATTCTAATTGGGCCAAACCTTCTTTCTCCCTGTCARACTTCTAAAATCACCAATTGGGCCACTTTCTTCTTCTTCTGTACCCGATCGCTGTCTTCTCAGTCTTACCAATTTCAGATTTCAAATTTCAAATTTCAAATTTCAAATTTCAATTTTGAAATGATTCTTGAAGGGCCTGTGAGAGAGAGAGACTTGCCCTCAAAAATACGATTCAAGCTTAGGGTTTAGGTCATCCTCTTCGAAGAGACACTCATCCCTTACTCAAAACGATTCAGGCTCATCCTCTTCTAAGAGACACTCTCTATCTATCACTCAGGCTTTAATCTCAGTCTATCAATCTCCAGGTAATCAATCGGTTCCATCGATTTTACTCTGTTTCCTTTTATTTACAGTCTCTCATCTAGGTAATCACACTCCATCGATTTTGGTTCACTTTTTTGTACCCTCTTTCGCAGACTTCTTTCTATCACACACTCCTTCCGTTCCAATTTCTGTCCAGGTAATTAGGGTTTGATTTCCCACTTTTAGTTCTTGAACTTAAATGCTATTGAATTTTGATTTCTAACTTTTAAACTTGAACTGCAGTTAACCTATGTGGTATCATAGGTTTTTTTTTATCGCAGTCGATTTTTTGTATAGCAATTGGTACCACAGTTTCATGAACAAGAAACTTGACCTGCTGTTGTAGAAAACTGAAATCGATTGTGTGTTTATATGACATAAGATGTTATTTAGTCTATTTTCTCTACATGTGCTTGTTGTAGTTTGATCAATGGCAGAAGCAACTGGGTCTGCCAACAAGCCAAGAAATGAAAGAGATTCATAGCTGAGSTGAATTTTTCTACTATTTGTTGTATGCTTCTTTCTTTCCCTTTGAACTTATAAAAAAATTTGTTGAGACTTTTTAATCCAAATTTACTCACAATCCTAATTGCTGCATGCATTGTTATGTTTTTTGCAGGTGTGATTGAAGAAATAAATTTGTTGAGGAAAGCCATGTGGCCTTGAACATGCTTTGTAGGTAAGCCATATTTCTTATGTGGACCCATATACAGAATTTATAAAGAGGAAGATATTTATATAACTACTAAAAAATATAATGGATATGCATACATAAAAAAAACATATTTAGATGGTTTTGGGATAAATTAAGAAGCTTGAGGTGCTTTGAGTTTGATCTGAAGGGGCTTGTGGACAGATTATGTTTTTTACTTGCAGAGTGGTTCAGAGGAAGATATGTTCCTTGTTTCTGTTTTCCATTTAATTATGGGATGTGTATGGTTGTAGTTACCAATCTTGATCTAACTCAATGTAGGTTTCAAGAAAATATGGATACATATCATAACTTAATTACACAGTTCATGCATGATAAACAATTGGATAGTGGAAAAGGAATTCTTCTTCATTTGTGTGATGATGTGATTCAACAAGAAGTAAGTCTATAGGAATTTATTTTACTTTTACGTAATTTATGGTGCTCAAGTAAGTCTATAGGAATTCTTCTTTTTATGCTTTTTGATTGGTTTTGATGCAGATGTTCCATTTGAAAAACATCAACCAACGCAAACAGTGAGCCATCTTAGATTTTCAAAATCCATTTCCCATTTTTATGTGGTAATTATTCATTAAACCGTTTAAATTTTTCGCATTTAAGATATACTTTGATGAAAGTATACGCAATATACAGACTGCAAAAGTCACGGGCCTCGATACTGTGTTGTAAGTCGATTCTGCTGTGAATGTGAAATGTTGGTGGTTGTTGTTGCTGGACATTATATTGATGGTGTCTTTGAACATGGGGGGTCATCGGAGCATAAAAAAGGTGTGTTTTAGATGTTTCTTCTTTTGTATGGTCATGATTGCAATTTGAACTAATCTTCAATAAATCTTCTTGTGTTTGATTTTTTGATGATACCCTTTATCCTCTGWGCTCTGGATTGTCAACAGAATGCACCAAGAATATCACAGGTATTGCATATTTACGTGACCTTTTTTTGGTCACTTGCATTTGTTAAATTATATATATGAGAAACTTATGATCTCTGTTAACATGAATGCATTTCTTCAGAATGAATGGTAAATAAGCTTGATATAGAGGAAAGCAAAGATCCAAAAATGTGAAAGAGGGCTCGATGAACAGCTGGGTTGGTAACTTAATATGAACATAGTCTCTATGAGCTTAAACTCTTAGTTGGGTTGGTAACTTAATATGAACAGCTGCCATAAACATATGCCATACACAGATGTATTAGACAAGTTCAACTCATTTTCAAGTGGTCTTTATATGTTTACCTGCTGATTCTGTAAATAAGAAGAAAAAACAATTTAAGAGACCAATTAGGATACAAGTACACATTTTCTTTAAACACCAACTGCAAAAGAAACCTTGCTTGAGTCGAAGGTATCAATTTTAAATCTTTGCTTTGAACTGCTAATCTTTTGTTAAATGTGTATTTCTATCAGTTCCCCTTATGGTTTGATGTCAAAACTGCTTCAAAGAAATCCAGGATGATGCACTTCATGATCAACATCATCCCTCCAAATCCAGGAAGAGCATAAGTAGGTACAAATATGAGCATCAATGTTGTTCTATTTTACCATTTTAGATGTTGAAATCAAAACTTAGAATATTGCAATATGAATTATGTATTTATGTGAGGAACATTTTTATCTGGTAGGCACTTGTTGGGTAAGAGTCGTTACTCTCACTTACCGGGTAAGACTCTCGGTCCTTGTTATCGGTCCTTGTTATCGCTCTTACTGGGTAAGATTCTGAATCATTTTCATGTTAGTTCGATAAGGTAAAGTGACCCGGTAAGCACTTACGAATGATGAATTGGGTCTCTAATTTCGGAAGGTGAAACTGTGGAACAGATATAGTGTAAAATTTTGCAAATAATGAGCCCTTACTGTTAATTTTGCGGTATACTACTACTACTACTACTACTACTATATCGAGAGTAGGTTTGATTTCGTATGACATAGTGGGTTTTTGGGTTTAACCAATGCAAAGTTCATGTAATTTGCTACTTTACTAAAGAAATTAAACTATATACAAAAGCAAAAGTGAATTTTGGACTAAACCATGGTTGGTCTTTAAAGACATTGTTTGCTCAAGTAGTCACAATGACAAGTTTCTTTAGTTGAAGCTGCTATGTATTATGTTACAGTTGACTGAAGGCAAACTTTCCTCTGACTGAAGAGGCCAGGGGCAGGGGTTTAGTATATTTTCTGTGAGGCCACTCTTTGTATGTTCCACCATGCATAAAGTTAARATTGGTGTTTTATTGGTTTTAAATCATTTGTCATATAATGTTTCATATAATATAACACATATATGCATTAATATGCCCTGCACAAATCACAGTAAAGAAAAAATCACATTAATATAGCACATATATGCRTTAATATGCCCTGTCATATCAGGGTTCGGTGTTACCCATTGCCCGTAATCTTGTATCAACTGCTGCAGTAGCAGTGATACAAGTATGCATATGTTGTTGCTTAATAAAAAAAATATAAGCATTGTTGATATCTATATCAATATTGGAACCTCTGAATGACTTTGTTTGACCACTGAAGACAAACTTACCACTGATATCTATACCTATTTTCTGGCTTCCCTGTTTTTGGGTTCTTGATCTCTGAATGGAAAAACCAGCTGATGACGGATTCCTGGGTAAACTATTGGTGATGGTATGGTATTTTCTTGACTGTGGTGAATGTTGATGTAATCTTTCAGGGAGCATCAGACTCATGGAATATGYCGATGTCTTTTATTAGTGTAATCCTACTTCCTATTGTTGGTAATGCTGCTGAGCATGCCAGTGCCATAATGTTTGCCATGAAAGACAAGCTTGTAAGTGTATAGGCTAAATCCAAAAATAAGATAATAGGTATGAGATTAGTTGATTGATAGTCTAATGTTTTTACTTATAGGACATCACTTGGAGTAGCAATTGGATCATCAACTCAGATATCAATGTTTGTGGTAATACAATAAATCTATTTTTTTGTTCTTTTSGGTTTTGTTATTGTGTGTGCTATTAGACATCTCTTTGGAAGAGCTTGTGGTAACTTGTAGAAAGTTAAACTGGGGAAAGGGCAGCAACTTTGCTGGTGATCTGACCAATATTCTTGTCCAGTTCTTGCTTTACTTGTACTATGCATAGCAGTTTGTAGATAGAGTTAACGGAAGCTTCTCCATCCTGCTTAACAGATCCCATTCTGTGTGGTTGTGGGTTGGATCATGGGCCAGCAAATGGACTTAAATTTTCAGCTTTTTGAGACTGCTACTCTCTTTATCACAGTGTTAGTCGTAGCATTTATGCTGCAGGTATCTCTATCTATCTACTTATCTATCTATCTATCTATCTATCATGTTAGTGTGAGTGGTGTATTGTAGAAGTAATGGTTTGGTTGTGTGCAGGAAGGAACATCAAATTACTTCAAAGGGGTGATGCTAATTCTGTGCTATCTCATTGTTGCTGCAAGTTTCTTTGTACACGTGGATAATAAATCAGGTGAGTATCATAAACAATGAAGTTTTTGTTGTCCTGAGAAAAGGAGATGATGAATTGAGATTAGGAKATTTATTTAAAGGTGAAGGAGGAGAGGAGAGGATAGAAGAATATGTAAAAAAAAAGAATAAATGTTTAACATTAAAAGTGGTTGTATTTGCATGCAGATGATGACTAAAAGTGAAGAGGCAAGCAGAAATGGAAGTGTATTGTTTAAATGTTGTAATTTTGTGAGGCAAGTTCATATGTTGATCCAAAGAGAGAGCATCAACATCAGTCATCAGCATTGTCATGATCAGAAGGTAGTTTTGGGTAGAAAAATCATTTGATTTTGGTTGAATGATTGATTGATGTTGGCATGACATGGCAATCAAATAAAGCATGTGCCTGCCTTGCCTTAAAGGAAGTTCATTCTTGTTCAAGTGCATTCGTTCAGGAAGTTCAGGAGGCGGCTTCCGRTTTGAAGATTTGGTATCCCTCTTTCTGGGTTTGAAGAACATCAGAAGAACCGCACCACCGTCCAGAGATGATCGAAACGGATTCGGTTTCTTGGTTCGTTGTAATCAATCGATGACCGTGAACGAATCGTCTTTGCTTGATCCTGATTTCTCTCTRCTGCTGGATTTTTTGGCGATTCTACTAATCCTAACTCCTGGTCCGGAGATTTTTTTATTCATCTCTCATTCAATTGCTCTAGAACTTTCGGTCTCACTCCCRATCTCTTGATTCTTTGCTCTTGGTGTAAATCGAACACATTTGTGGAGTCGTTTAAATATATTTGATTTTAAACTGTCATACAATTTTTTTCATCGATAGACTGTAATTGGAACCATAATTCTTATTTATTCAMATTGTATTAATATGTAAAAATCAAGTGTAACTTATATCATTGTTAAATCTTCTCAAATAAAATCAGTGAAACTTAAAAATCGTTAAAATTTACGGCTCCCGCCGCATTGCGCGGGTACACAACTAGTATATATATATATATATATATATATATATATATAAAGAAGCGATCAAATACAAACCATCCAATTTGTATAAACCATGCAAACCACCCTCATCCGTCGATTTTATTGTTTAATCCTATGAATTTTTTTCATGAAATTGTTTAATGTTGTGAAATTGTTTCATATAATACTTTTTTTTTGATGAAGTTGTTTTCATATATGATTATCAAATTGTTTCATATAATACTTAATGAAATTTTAATGAAACTGTTTCATGTATTTCTCAAAAATTAAAATAATGAAGATGATAATATCCATGATTAACACTCTCACAATAAAAATGATTAATCAACCTCTCATAATTACAAAAAAAATGAACAAAATGAAAATTATGATTGGTTGAATGAAGTTTGTACGGTTTGTACAAATAACGTGGTTTGCAAAGTAAACCTCCTCCATATATATATATATATATATATATATATACACACACACACACACACACACATTCATACACACACATATATATAGGGTAATCTTTTGTTAACCAAGAGATCAGTGTTAACTTTGTTAACAAATCTCAACGTCCACAATATCAATCAACGACTTATTACAATTGAATGTTTTTAAATTAAATATTTGGGAGTGAACACGCGCCATAGATATCTTTCATATGTGAACAAGGGTATAATAGTAAAATGATCTCAAGAGTCAATTTAGGAAAAGAATCAATATCCTAATATCAAGGGATCACGATATAGAAGATTAATGGTTCGTCTTTTCATGGAATCGTGAAAAACTATGAATCCATAAGACACTAGTATGAAACATGTATGAACACTCGTACATTTCTCATATGAACATGGTTTAGTTTTGAATATCAAGTTCATGTATAAACATTGTTTTCAACATGACACTGATAGATTCGTGAACAGTCGTATACAATGTTCATTTATGAAAATGCTTTTGAATATCACACTTGTAAAATTTTGTATGTGAAACAGGTTCATTTGCAAACAATATCGAATATGACACTTGTACACTAGTTCACCTATGAACATGGTTTGCCGTATTACATTGTTTCATGAATAAAGTTTATTATTTATAAACTGTTTCACTTGTGAACATATAGATTAGCACCATAACATGTTTGAATTATAAACTATTTTACTGATGTCGAACAATTCTCGACAAGTAAAAGGCAAAAAAATATGTAATTTAAAAACCACTAGATAATTATGGAAAATGTGAATTAAAAAGGCTTTTTTTAAAATTAACTAACTTCAAAAAACCACCCATAATTAAGATAATTATGGAAAATATCAATTAAAATGTTTTCTTTAAATTAACTAACACTATCAAACAGTGCATCATTTCCGGTGGTTATATCCGTCGGAGATCTTTATTTTCAGCGGATATAGCCGTCGGAAAGATTGGCGACGGTGATTAATTCACCGACGGATTTTTTCATTTTCCGGCAGATACCGGCCCGGAAACATCCTACCGGTTTATTTAAAAATTCGTGATTAAATTAAGAAAATATTAAAGTTTTTTAAAAAAAAAAGAATTAATTTACCCGCGGACACATCCGTCGGAAAGCCGCCGGTAACCTATCCGCCGTAAAAAGAAATTAATTTTTTTTAATATATTTTAAAATTGTAAAAATTACCGGCCTGAAATCCGCCAGAAAAATATATAAATATTAATTATCGATTATTTTTATAATTAATATTTAAACTTGTAAATCTGTAAAATATTAAAAAAAAAACTAAAAAGACAAAATCCAACTAAATATCATACATTAAAGTAAACGACAATTATCTCAACCAAACAAAAACTAAATTGGTCCAATAACTAAATTGTTTCAAACAAAAATTAAATTGTTTCAAACAAACAGACAATATTCAATACGGTGGCGGGGGACAAGGTTGAGATTGACTGAGTTGTCTAACTAAAGCAGTCATATCTTCAAGTTGTTTATCCCGTTGTTCCTTCTTCTTTTGTTGTCGCTCCTCCTCCACCCGTTGTCGCTCCTCCGTCCGCCGTCGCTCCTCCGCCTCCCTACATCGCTCCTCCTCCGTCCGCCGTCGATCCTCCGCCTCCCGCCATCACTCCTTCTCCGCCATCCGTTGGCGCTGATTTTGTTCCTGTAAGTCTCTAAGTTGGGTTCTTAAGGTTTCACTTTCCTATAAAATAAATAAAACGTTATAATATTTAATATGAATTATAAACCGAATTGATAAACATCATCAAAGCAAAAGAGGCACATACCGACTCTATGAAGACGATAAACCACCTTGTGTGTAGTTCCCAGTCAAGACCCAATTGGAATCCTGTTGTACCCAAACCCAAATAGACGGTCTTTCTTGCTTCCCCCAACCCCCTGCTCCCATTACTCTTTACCAATTAAGGGATAGGTGGAGGGATCATCACCGTATCTTTGGATGAGACCCGTTGAATAGTCATCCTATATATAGTTTAAAAAAGATTACAAGTAAATCTGACGTTTCCAGACAAAACAATTGTAGCCAAAATAATCCTAACGTTTGCCCAACAAATGGCAACCCAAACTAAATATTGATACATATGAAATTTCTACCTTAAACAATCTTAATGTTGGCCCACCAAATGGCAACCCAAACTAGATTTTAATTTAAACGTATCGAACGTTTGCTCAACACAGATAGATAGTTAGGTATCCAATTATATATATTAAAATAGATAGATATACTTACCATGACTTGGCTACACTTAGAGGTCACGTACCCCCCAGAATCCATAGATGCGACATCTCCACTCGACCTCTTCTTATGTGTATAATCGAACAATTCCACAACGGTCGGTGGCACGCCGTCTTTGCTTGTGTCTACAAGGGTTAAATAATACGAACATATGTTGATTATAATATATTAAAAATCAAGCTACTAAAGTAATGAGTTTTAGGTCCTATCAAACGAGCACTATGCTTTGAAAATGGGATCGATCCACCGGTGTGTAGCGCAACTTGGCTATCACGGTTCCTACGCGCCACACAGGGAACAACCCTCCAATTGTCATTGTTCCAATAATCGATCATCTAGCTCCACACATATGAAGATATCCAGCTAGGGGGAAAGTTCTTCAACACACTCATCCCGTTGTGGGTCGGTTTCATCTTATTGAGGATACCCATTCCTCTTTGCTTTTTCCCCAGCTTTTTTCCTCGCGGCACTCAAGTTGTCATTATATGGCTTGGCCAACTTTCTCTCCCATTCTCTAGGATCTGAGCGTCCAAAGTCGAATCCCATGTAACATCCACTAAATCCTAATAGGATGTGTTAAAGCCAATAGAACCGTTAAAGCTCAATATGATCCATTAAAGGTCAACTAACATCTATTAAAACTCAATATAACTGTTAAAGCCTAATACGATCCATTAAAGCCCAACTAACAACTATTAAAGCCCAATAAAACTGTTAAATCCCAATACAATCCACTAAGAAAAGAAAAGTTCGAAAAATGGGGCGAAAAAACCGCCGGAAATCTACTGAAAAATCTTTGATTTTTTTTATAAAATCTTGAATAAATATTACCGGGGGATTACCGGCGGCCCTCCAGCTTCTTCCAGAAATCCGGCGGAAAATGTTAAAAATAAATTTTAATGTTTAATTACTTTTCGACGGATATTAATTTTAAAAGATTAATTAAACATCTGCCGGAAATCCACTATTAAGTTATTGTAATTAGATTTAAATACAAGTCTAAAATAATTAATTAAGAAATCCGCCGGAAATATTACCAGAATAGTTTTTCCGGAGGTTTTCCGGCGGATTTCCATCGGAAAATTATAGAGGTTGACCTTTTTGTTGTCCGCCGGTAATCTCGTTGAAAATACCCAGTATTCTAGTAGTGTAACTTATCTATTAAATGATTTTTTTAATAAATAAATTTACAAAAAATACCCCTCAACCATGTAACAAACATGGGATGAAACCAAATAGTCTCCTGAAATTTGATTGGTCCATTTGGATTAACAAAGTTAACATTAATATGTTGATTAACAAAAGATAATGACCATATATATATAGAGGAGTGATCATATGAAAATCACCCTCATTTGTGTAAACCGTGTGAACCACCTTCATCTGTCGATTTCATTGTTTAATCTTATGAAATTTTTTCATGAAATTGTTTATTATTGTGAAATTGTTTCATATAATACTTTTTTTGATGAAGTTGTTTCATATATGGTTGTGAAATTGTTTCATATAATACTTAATGAAACTGTTTCATGTATTTCTCTAACATTAATGAAACTGTTTCATGTATTTCTCTAAAAATTAAAATAATGAAGATGATAATATCTATGATTAACACCCTCCACAATTAAAATGATTAATCAACCTCTCATAATTAAAAAAAAATGAACAAAATAAAAAATTATGATTGGTTGAATGCGGTTTGCACGATTTGTACAAATTGAGTGGTTTGCATTTGATCGCTCCCATATATATATATATATATATATATGAACATTCTTTTAATAACTTCCTAATTCGTGATATCCAATTTAAATTATAAAAAATTAAAATCTAATTTAATTTAGAAAACTATCTTCTATCCTCTATCATCTCTCCTCTTTCTCATCTCCGTAAGATTCATACACACAAAATTAAATGTGCGTACACGATAAACACATAATGAACACTTGTTAAAAATATTATTATAATTTGTAAATATATTGTGCATACACTCTAAATCTAAAGATGTGGTATAACCTGTCAACATATTGTGCACAG